CGGCCGCGCGCCCCGCCCCGCCCCCTCCCGCCGCCGGGCTCACCTTAAAGGGTGGCGCGCAGGGAGCAGGGACAGGATGAATCACCGCCAAAATAAATGACCAAATAAAAAAGACCTGCGATTCACTTAAACACTTGTATCAGTCCATACCGCCTCCAGGTGTCATCGCTCCGTGACGTTCCTCGTGAGCTATAAAAATCATCTTTCACGGGCAATTTCGGTCCAGAGCCCCAGATCTCCGTTACATAACGGGAAACTCGAGACACCGAAAGATGAGGTGCGGGATGAGAGGGCAATCTTGGAACGTGGGTAACCAGAAATTTCTAAAGAGGAAGACTGTGCTACCCTCGATGGAGTCCAGTGTTTACAAATTCGCACACAGAACCAGAGGCCTAGCAGAAACGGTGGCCATCGTTTGTGGATGTCCTCCATCTGCTCACCCTCCGCTCCTTGTAACACACTAACGGGGAGGTTTAGGGTATGACACCGATGGCTGAGGGGAAAATGCGCCTCACTTGACCCGAGAGGGAGGACTGTGTCTCTCTCGAGACTCCCGCAGGGACGTCTCCTTACAGCGCCTGGGGATGGGGTGCCACAGATCAGGACTGAGAGTCAGGGGGCGAATAAATTGTTTCCCACATTGAGCAGTGCAGGGCATAAACCGGGACTGTCCTGGGAGCAAGAGGCAAGAGGTGACAAACACCGAAGAGGTTGACAGACGTTGGAAACAGTATTTTCTTCTTTTCATTGCAGGCTGAAAGTGAAGCAACCAGAGGCCTTTGGGTAGGGCTGGTTGAGGGTGGTGACCAGGTCAGACCGGTGAAGGGAAAGCCTGGTTAGGAGACTCCAAAACCTAGCTTTTTTTCCCCCAAAGGAATCCTATATCTACTGACTGACTGTTATCTCACCTGCGAACAGTTCAAAAGGCAAAGGATTTCTGCGGGGAGGGGACGACCAAACGGGGTCTACTGCCTTAGATGCTATTCTGATTATTGCTTTGTGCTAGACAGCAACTAGCCCAGAACTTAGTGGTTTAAAAAAATCACGATTTTGCTAGCTTGTAGGTGTGTAGGTGCGGAGTCCGACAGGCACAGCAGGACTTGTTTCTGGTCATGAGGACAGGGGAGAGCCTGAGGGAGCCTGGGCTGGGAGGTCCGAAGGTCAGGTGTGCCGAGCCGGTTCCTGTCAGTGGCTTGTATGTTCTGGCCTCTTCACAGCAGAGCAGTCTTAGCTTAGACGGATTCCTTAATGTCTCAGGACTCGGAGTTTCACGATGTAAGACAGCTTCTGAGTATCACTTTCACTGTATGCTACCGACTAGTCCTCTACTCACCCAAATTCAAGGGGAGGGCACTAAGATGCCCTCTCCTCTCCACGGGAAGAGAATTGAAGAATCTGTGGCTAGGTAAAAACTGCCGCAATGGGGTTGGTGGTATGGCTTTTAGATTCTTAGGGGTTTTCGTTGATCTCAAGAATATAGTATTTCTCTGAAAATAAGACCTAACCAGAAAATAAGCATTGTATGACTAATATAAGCCCTACCACCAAAATAAGCCCCAGTGAAGGTTGTCAGCCAAATGGGCAAATTTAGTGTGTCTGTGGCATCACATGACAGATGTACTGAATCATAAAATAATAATATTAATATATAAATAAATATAAATGAATAATATTGACATTAATACTTAAAGGATAATGTAAATTTTAATTAAGTATTTGGAAATACCCATGTGGATGCCTTTGGATGAGCAGTAAATAGATGAACACGAGACTTATTGCAGATTGACAAATAGAGCGCAG